ATAATTTAGCGGCATATTTTACTCTTTGTCTTTGAGCTCCTCTCACATTAAGCTTTTCTTTATCCGTTTTGTGGGTATGCAAATTACAGGTATCGCAAGAAAAATTGTATTGTCTCTTACATATTTCTTCTCAAATTTAAGAAAAAGTAAAAATTTCTATCTGAATATAAAATTCGGTAGCGGTACATCGGTAGAAAAGCGACGAAATCAGTAGGTTTGGGAACACTGCTGCTACCTGCTACGCTGCAACTGACGTCACTCCCTGGCCGAAGATCGAGCGACCGTGCGCAATATGTTACCTCTGTAGTTTATTATACCATGGGTTCCGTTTATTAGAAGATTCTCGTTATTTCTTTCAGTTTTCGATATTCTTACGCATTTCGTCTTCTTGACGTTCATTGTTAGACCGTACTCTTTTCAATTTTCTGCTATTCTGGTAACCCGTCACTGAAGATCGTTAATATTTTCTGCTAAGATCACAGTGTCGTCCGCATATCTAATGTTGTTAATGTAATAGTATCCATATTTACCTTTATTAAATCTGTTTCACACTTTGAAACAATGAAGAGTGGCTTTTCCCACTCTTCATTGTTTTTAATGCGTGTAATATTTCTTCTTTTGTAATATATGGACCTATTTCTTCTGACGTAAGTTCTATGTGCTCCAGATCTCCTCTTTCGTCATCGATCAGTTGGTCGATATATTTTTTGTACTTTCTGGTCCGTCTGTGATATAGTAGTCACGTATCTATCCAGAAGTGCACCAGTGGGATTTTGTTTTCTTAGTCCTGTCAGTTCTTTAACTTTCTTGTGTAGGTTAAATAGATCATATTTATTTTGAAAGTCTTCGGTATCTTTGCATTTCTCGTCAAAGTATTTTTCTTTTGCCTCGTTTGTCATCTTCTTGATCTCGTGGTGTATCTCTGTATATTTATTGTTGTCTTTGTTTTTAAATTGTCTTCGTTGTTCCATCACATTCAGTATCTAGTCATTCATCCATTCTTCTTTTCTCCTTGCGAAAGTCTTTAGTATTTCTTTACAGGGTTCCAGTAGACAATATTTTAGTCGATCCCAGTACTCGTCAACATAATTGGTGTTTGTGTTCAATTTGCTGCAGTTTACATGCAGTTCATGTTGGGGGCATTCTTTTACGTTAGGTTTTTTAAGTTTTCGTGTGTGTATTGTAGGGATTCTTTGATGTCTTTTAACACGTCAGGACACGTCTAATCCAGGTTTTGCTTTCACGGCTTTAACAGCATTACGGTATCTTTCATTGATCATAATGTAGTTTATCTAGTTCCTGACTACTTTCTGCGATGTATCTGCGGGCGATCGCCATGTATACAGTCGTCTGTTTGGTAACTTTAAATGTGTTTGTAATAATCAAATTCTGACCTTGACAGAATTGTAACAGACCATCTCCTTTCCTGTTTAGATTTTCCAGACCATAGTTTTCTATACACTTTTCGCTTTGACCCTTTCCAATCTTTGCATTGAGATCACCTAGGATTATCATGATTTCCCTTGTTTTCGTTATTCCCAGTGCCTCTTCGATATGTCGGTAAAATAATTATGCTTCTTTTTCGTCAGCATTCACCATAGGAGCATAAACTTGTATCAAATTTAGTTTGACATGAGATGTCACCAATTTCGATACCATTACCCTTTCTGAGATGGGGAAATAGCATTTTATCGCTCTATTAGGTTTTTTATTATCTATTATTGTCACACCGTGTCTGTGTTGGTTATTCTCGCTACCGAAATAATATATTGTGGCTTTGTCTGTTAAAAAACAACCTGAGTTGGGCTACCTAGCTTCATTGATACCCAGTACATCGATATTCAACCTGTTCATTTCTTGAATAATATTGTGCATTTTACCAGACTGAAACATGTTCTGAACATTCCAGGTTTCTATTCTAGTCTTGGACAGTCTTATTTTCTCATCTACGTTTTTATGCCGTTGACCAAGATATTGGTTCATCCACTACCATTCGGGACCGATTTCTCAACCCCAGAAAAAAAGGGTGCCCTACCACCTACCAATTTTTTTTGACATATCTGGCTACCCTCACTTAGTTTAGCCTTGGATCTATAAGTGAGAGTTAGGTGTCTTATGAGACCATCTCCCGTCTATGATTCTCGATGTGGTCGATCTGATAAAAGGTGGTAACTCTATAACACAAACCCTACACCCCTTATAACTTATGGGGTTTCTCGAATAAGTGATTCAAGTACAAATAAAAAAATAACCAAAAACAGTACTTATGTTTTGATGCTCATCATCATCATCAGTAGCTCGACAACTCTTTCTGGGTTCTGGCTTGTTCTAGGATTTTTCGGCATTCTGTTCTGTTCTTTGCTTTGTTTTTCCACTTGGTAATCTTAAGTGTTTTCAGATCTTGTTCCACTTGTTCCATGTATCTAAGTTTGGGTCTTCCCTTTGACCTTCTCCCTAGTGGTGTTTGCCTCATTATATGTTTTGGTTTTTCAGTCTCCAACATCCGTTCAATATGGCCCATCCAGCGCAGACGCCCGATCTTTATGGATGTTATGATCTTGGGTTCATTGTATGCTGTGTATAGTTCAAAGTTATATCTTCTGCGTCATATGTCATTTTCCTTTACCCCCTTATATATGTATCTAAGCATTTTTCGTTCAAATGTACCTAACAGGTTCTCATCGATTTTTGACAGTGTCCATGTATCTGATCCATATACAAGGACAGGTTTTATCAGAGTCTTGTATATTTTGCATTTGGTTTTTCTTGTGATGTTGTTAGATCTTAGATGTTTAATCAGTCCATTATATGTTTTATTATCGATATGTATTCTTCTGTTAACTTCTTCACTGACATTGTTATCTGCGGTAACTAGTGAACCTAGATATGTAAAATTTTTCACGTTTTCGATGTTGTAGTCTCCTATTGTCAGTTTCTGTAGGTTTCTTTGGGCATGTCGATTTACTGGCGTACATGCATTTGGTTTTTATTTCGTTAATGTTTAGGCCACTGTTTTGTGTCGGTCTTTCTATCTCATTAAATGCTTCTATCATCTCTCTTTCGCTTCTAGCTATGATATCAACATCATCTGCAAATGCGAATATTTGTACACTTTTTGTTATTATTGTTCCTCTGGTGTTGACTTTTGACTTCCTAATTATTTTCTCTAATGTTATGTTGAATAGAATACAGGATAGGGAATCTTCCTCTCATAGGCCCGTCCTCACATGGTTTGTATCTGTTAGTTCGTTTTGAAATCGAATTTTGCCTTGTACTTTAAGTGTTACTTTTACCATATCAATGAGTTGAGTTGGAATATTAAACTCTTTCAGTGCATGGATCAGAAATTCTCGATGGATGCTATCATAGGCACTCTCAAAGTAAATGAAAAGATAATGTATGTCTATATAAATTCACTAGTATTTTCTCAAGACGAAGATCTGATCTATTGTGGACTATTTGTTCCGCATATGGTCTCAATCGGTCATACACAATATTTGACAGTATTGTATATGCCAGTCAGTAGCGTTATTGCCACATTGAAGCCGATCTTCCTTTTTATGTAATGGGATAATTACTCCGGTATTCCAGTCTTGTGGCAGTTGTTTATTATTCCATGTGTTCACTATTAGTTCGTGTATCGCATTCAATAAGGAGTCTCCACCTTTCTTTATTAATTCTGCGCTAATGTTGTCCAATCCAGGTGACTTGTTGGTTTTTATTTTAGTCTGGTAACTGCTTCTTGCAATTCAGATACTGAAGGGGGGTTGTTTGTCTGGTATTCGTTTAATCCAGTATAATTCCATCATGTAGTGGATCTTCTTTTTATTTTCAAACTTTTCTTTGAATAATTCTGTCCAACTTTGTAGTATTTCACTCTGTTGAGTTACTATATCTCCTTCTTTGTCTCTACACATCATTGTTCTTGGTTTAAATTCTTTTCTACTTTTGTTAAGTTTTTGATAGAATTTTCTGGTTTCTGATGATTTATTTAGTTCTTTCATTTCTTGGAGTTCTTTTTCTATGTGTTCTCTTTTCTTTCTGCGATGTATTTTCTTCTCCTTAGCATTCTATATTCCTCCTCTGCCTTTCGTGTTCTATGTCGTTGTTGTAGTCTTTGATATGCATTATTTTTCCTCTCTGTTATGTTACGACACTCTTCATCGAACCACTGTCCTTCAGTTGATTTGAGCTTTTTTTGTAGACCCATGGTCTCTTTGGCCGTGTCTTGTATGATGTTTTTACACGCTTCACATTCTCTGTTTATATCCTCGTGCTTTTGTCTGTTTTCTAGCATTCCTTTTATATATTCTTTGTATTTTTTGCTGTTGTCTGCTAAGTTTTTTATTTCATATTTACGTTTTGATGCTGTTTCAACAAAAACACTATTTTTAGAAACATTTTTCGTCGCTTTTGTAAACTAACCACACTTTCACCCAAAAACGGAAGTAGTCGGTATACAACACAATCGAACGATTCGGGTCTAAACAAACCACAAATTATTTTGACCATTTTGACCTTTATTTAGTAGTTTCTTACGACATTCACGATTGTGAGTACACGGTCTGTAAGGGTAAAAAGTAATAACATTGCAAACTTTTTGTTTATTTAAATTTTTAATATTGTCTATTGTAATAAAACTTTAACATTTTGTATTATAGAATAATATCTAATATACAAGGTCATTCAAAGCGCAACCTTAAAAATGCCTCAACTTTCTTAAAATGAATCACTCTATATATTGTGACGTTATTGAAAAGAACTTTAAGTTGTGTTAGTTAAATCTAAGAGTTACGGAGATATTTAGATTTAAATATTTATATTATAATTGTGATTATTGTGGTATAGCGTGTCATGGAAATTATAACTTTCCATGTTAAAAGGCGTGTTTATTATACTACTTTCATTGCTTTATAAAATTAATTATACAATATTAATGATTGACTTGTTGACTTACCAACACAGTAAATCTAAAGACTTTATGTACATTTTTTTAACAGATCTGCATGACGTCAGCTACAAAGATGCCTCCTACTCTTTCAGAAACTTCTGGAGATGAAGACCAACTAGCATTTAAGGTTATAAATCAAGATAATTTTTCAATAGTAGTAGTAGGTCAACCAATTTTGAAACCATTTGACCAATCAGTTCAAAAGAACAAACCTAACCTTATAGTACATCCTATTCGAAGGATATCCAAGACAGTAGAAGATGCTAAGCAAAAAGTTACAGAAAAGCCTAATGGATTATTAAGTAGTAGTAATGAAAATACCGTCAAAGTGCGCAAAAATCTTAGCTCTTCACATGGAAATTTATGTCACAATAATAGTACTGTTCAAATGAAATTAGAGGATTTAGAGAACCAACTAGAGTTAGAAAATTTTAACAAAATATTAGGTTAGTACTGTTTGTGGTTATTAATGCTTGCCATCTTTACTTTAATGCTTCTTTTATTTCAACAACAATTATTTATACCTAAAAACTTTCTTTTATATATATTTTAATTATTATTACATCTTTATGCCTGATAATTTTTATATTTATTTGTTGTACACGGCTTTCCTATAAGCTTGATTGCAGTTGCACTCAGATCTTAAACTTTATGTCATCACTGCTGATACACTAATACATTACCAAAATAACGGTTGATTTAGGATAATTAAAAAGTGATGACAAATAAGATAGTCTTTTATAATTATGAATATAGCACGATCAAATACATATTTTGAAGTTAATTATTTTTTTTTTACTCACATAAAGTACCTCGACAACTATGGTAATTTTGCAGGAATAATAATATTAAATATATAATAAAGAATGAGAACAAATATTAATTATATTACTTTAACTAATGTCTATTAGGTTAAATCTGGTACAGTTTAGCAGTTTTTAAAAACTGTATAGTTTTCGGAAAAGAAATAATAATTAGGGGTGAGTGTTGTACCTCGGACCGGTTTGTACCTCGGGTCAATTGACTTTCTTTCTTACCCACTGCAGATTTCTCTTCGATTTGGCTGAATTAGTGGTTTAATAATATAAGCGGTAGATGGCATATAACTACACTTATCAAAAAATTGTAGCGTGGTGACTTGCAGTGCGTTTTGTGTTTTGCTTGATCGTAAGTAAATTATTTACCTATCTGTTATCTGTTATCTACTTCATTATCTGTATCTTATTCACTACATATGATTAGAAATCAGATAGACTATATTCTGGTAAATAAGAGATTTCAAAATGGCGTCACCAGAGTAACGATATATCCTGGTGCAGATATCGGTTCAGACCAAAATTAAATATCTCAATATCCAACAAAACGTTAATAGAAAATGACTTAAACAATGAGCCAAAGAAACCAATAAATGAAAACAACACAGAACTATACAACACATTTAAAGATCTTACCTTGGAAGTAATAGAAAAATATTCAACAACGTTACACAGGCACAAAAACAACAATGGATGACTGATGAAATCCTGGAATTAATGGAGCAGAGAAGGAAACTGAAAGGTAACAAGACAGAATATAAGGAAAAACAGAAACTAATTCAACAAAAAATAAAGGTGGCTAAAAAAATGGATGGAGGATAAATGCAAGGAAATAGAAAAGTTAAATGAAAAACATGATACGTTTAATATGTTTAAAACAGTTAGAGAAGTAGCTGGTCTTTATCATAAGAAAACTCCACATATACTATAACCGATTCGTCGGGAAAAATGATAATAGACGAATATGAAATTCGAACAACCTGGTGTAATTATATAAGTGAACTGTATAATGATGATAGACCTTCACCTTCAACTAAAGACTCCAAAACTGGAGTCCTTAGTTGAAGGTGAAGGACCAGAAATACTAAAATCAGAAATACTGAATGCTATAAAGTTAGCAAAGAACAAGAAAGCCGTTGGCCCTGATAACATACCGACAGAGATGTTAAAGCTTATAAATGAGGAGAACATTGGAATACTGGTCAAGCTTTTCAATGATGTTTATTCGACTGGTGATATCCCTAAAGATTGGTTAAAGTCCAAATTCATAACACTACCAAAAAAAAAACAACGTCCGAAAAACTGTAGCGATTATAGAATGATAAGCCTTATGAGCCACACTTTGAAAATATTTCTACGCATCATCCACAGTAGAATCAGAGATAAATGTGAGGAAGACCAGGATGAAACACAATTTGGCTTCAGAAATGGACTGGGAACTTGGGACGCCCTCTTTACACTAAATGTATTACTGCAGAAATGTCGAGATTAAAGGAAAGACGCCTTTGCTGTATTTATTGACTATGAAAAGGCCTTTGATCGAGTACAGCATCACAAAATCACAGCCAGATTTTCCAAAGCATCCATATATGACTTAAGCTGCCCTATGCTGAGCAATATATTCTCTGATTCTATAATTACAGAGGCCTTGTTCATTAGAACGAACAAAATGCTCAATTCTGGCGATATTTGTTTGTGAAACGTGCATTATATAAAACTATTTTGCAATTTCTGCGATTTTTAATTAGAGTATATATTGTAGTTAAATAGAGTATAATAAGAGTGTACCAGATAGAGATGAATAATGAAAAAAATAAACAACAGCGTCCCTTGGAAAGCATGCAAAGAGAAGAGAAAAAATATGTATATATAAGAGTGTAATGAAATTATCAGTTTCTTCTTTTATTTTTTGAAAATTATATTTGGTTGAAAGATTTTAATAAAGCGTAGCATTAGAACTGACGAATACCGTAGCTGCGCAATCTCAGGGAGTGGTTTAATTGTTAGACTAACTAGGTTTTTAGAGAAGCAGTGAACACAGTTCAATTAATCATGATAATCTCCAAGCTTCTAAAGAGAATGGCTTCGTAAGAAGAAGAAAAACATATTCTCATTTAATTCAGTAATTATACAAAAAACTATAACTATCAACAAAAAGTGAGTAAGTTGTTGTTTTGTAAACTATTAACACACCTTTTTTTGCTCTAAAAAAACAGTTTTTTCTCTTAAATATTTTTAGTTAAAATATTGAAATCTCTATTTTGTGTTGAAAATGAAATATTAAATATTTTTTAGAAAATATATGCTGTGACAATCAACCAAACAAAAATAAAGAAATCAACTGAAATGATATTCGGTAAACATAAACTGTTATTTACATAATTTTCAAGCAGTTGCGTTGTATTAATGTTATTGGGTCCGGATGTTATGTCATGTGTGGAAAATAAACTAGATTCTACGTTTCGAACAAACAAACATTACTACGTTTAAATATTCAACCATGTTTATTGATTAAGGAAAATAGAAAATGGGGATTAGAGACATAAAAAACTAATAGATTGTCGACTTTTTCAAAGCAACTTTAATTTTCTAAAACACTTAAAAATCGATCAGTCAAGAACTAAATAAAAGTGACCTACTCACTATTTATGCATGTTGTTTTACCTTAAAGATTATTTTTCTTTTTTATAGAGAATAATTAGAAAAAGAGGCTGGAGAGAAAATGTAATGGAGGTAGATGATCCTCATCTTTTTCTTTTAAGTTTTACCTGGGTGCATCTTTGACTATTTGACTCCATTTAGACATCCCTTGTACCCTTTCTCTTCATCCCTCTTCTTCTTCTTCTTCTTTTGGCATCATAACCCTGGATGGGTCTTTGCCTGTCTGGCTATGTCCTTCTATTCAGATCTCTCTTGTGCCCTTCTTCTCCTATGTTCTCTTCATCCTATGTTCTCTTTAATCTCCTCCTTCCTGCCATCCTTCCATCTTGTTGTGGATCATTCCATTTTTCCTCACTCTTTCAGTTTCTCCTCATCTTTTTATTTTTATGTAGACATGACTTTGTCTGTTTTCCAATGTGCCTCCAGTAAGTTGTTGTTACATCATTTTCTTTGTCTTCATCTATTGTCGTCCATTCCTATAACATCGGCTTCAGTAGAAGAACATTTTTTAGCGCTAAAAAGAATTAAAACGTATAGTCGCAATTCTATGAGCCAAAGTAGATTGAGTAATGTATCTCTTCTTTCAATCGAAAAACAGTACACCGGATCACTGTTTGTGGTACAATACAAAATAATTTTTTTTGTCATCTAGGCAAAGTTCTACATTACATCTAGAGCATTGCCCCCTACTTCTATGTGGCTCCTTTTTTATACTGCAAGGTCCACAGTGACGTGATGTTCCATGAATTGGCATCAGTAGATGTTAATCTGGTTTCTAGTGGAACGTATTTTTTAAATTTACTAGTTTTTTTTTGTTCTCTGTTGTTATGTATACTCTTATGAAACGCACCTGGCGGATCATAAGAGCCTTCACATTTTACTCTTCTTCAACTTGTCTTGAGTAAAATGTCTTTAATCTTTTTTTATCAGCCTCTCTTGGCTAACTCTTGTTTTCTTCCGACCCCGAATGGCGATTAGGTTTCCGAAGGCAGACGGGTCACTATATATCTTTCTAATATATTCTTCCCATCCACACTTTCTTTCCCTCCCCATCCTACCCAACAAAAAATATGGAGAAAACCAGATGCAAAAAGTCCGTAAGTTAAGGTGGAAGCTATCGTGCTAAAAACTGAATGGTTGCACGTCATGCGGCCGCTAACGATGCTCTTGGAACACCGGGCGAAATCCCATTGAATATTAGCCTTGTTCCTGTACGCGGGGCTCTACAGGAATCGACCAACGTTCCCCAGCTACTCGTGGGAATAAATATGAATACTCACCAACATGCTAGGCAAGCACGGTGTTTAAATGCCAAAAACCCGACCACTGTAAACCAACCCTATTCAATGTGATATAAAAAGATAAACCTCAACATCGCCACATATAATGCTCGGTCACTCTCTACCGAAGAAAGATTCGAAGAAATGGAGGAAGAACTCTCAAAAGTGAACTGGGATATTGTAGGTATCAGCGAAGTTAGAAAAAAGGGAGAGAGTCTTACATCACTTCCATCAGGCCATTTATTTTATTACAAAGGAGAAGAGGAATCGACAGTCGGAGGCGTCGGCTTCTTTATTCACAAAAGAATTGCTAACAGAATTGTGTCAATAAACCAAATCTCAACAAGAGTGGTCTACTTAAACATCAAAATAAACGCGATATATCCTAAAGTTCATTCAAGTGTACGCCCCTACTACAGGACATCCAGACGAAGAAGTCCAAATATTCTACGACCAAATATCCTGTGCAATCAAGGAAAATCCTGGCCACTTCTTAATAATAGGTGGTGACTTCAACGCCAAAATAAGCACTAAGGAAGACCCCTCTAAAATAATATTGGGAAATTTTGGAAGCGAAGGCAGAAATGATAGAGGCAAACAACTACTGACTTTCCTTTTGGAAAACAATCTCTATCAAATGAACAGCTTCTTTAAAAAGAAAAAACACAGAAGATGGACATGGGAAAGTCC